TATAATTTATGATTCATGCTTTTATGAGATTGCTTTATAAGATTATTCATAAACATTGGTTAGATTGGATAAAAGCTATGATCCTTTTCAGCTCCAAAATTCTGTGGTTCGGCAATTTACAACCAACTTTACTAAGTGGTGGAAAGGAAGCAGTTTCTAGGAAGCTACACTTTGATTCTGGTCAGGGTCATTTAATATTTATAATTTAAATCCAGCCCACTATTGTGGTGTATTTGAAAATCAGCCTATATTCCAACTTTACTAGTTGTGGCACTGTATTCACCTATATTTTTCAACACTAAAAAAATTGGCCCTCAAATTCTTTGAGCATTCATCTTTCTAGAGCCCTATACTTAAATTTTTTTTTTTTTAAATTTTAAGGTTTTTGCAATAGGGTATGTACGTTTCCCAGAGAGAGAGATAGACAGTGAGTGGGAATGTGAGGAATCACTTCCCAGGGGGTTGGCCACACCACGATCCCTTTTCCTCCATTCTCTCAGGGTTTTGGGCACACACACACACACACACACACACACGCCTAACATGATTTTCAAGACACCAAATCTGGGACTTGGACCACAGTCAGCCCGTGGGAGTCCAGCACCTTAATCACTACCTGCTGGCCCCAGAACCTTATGCTTTTACTCATTGGAGGGTTCTACCATATAGTCCTCTAGTCATTGGCTAAATAGTTCTCTACCCTCTTAATGAACCGAGTGTTTCGTTCTAGGTAGAGTTCCTCTTAGATAATGAAGAGGGTTCTAGGTGCTACGTGCTAACATCAGGCTTCTAAGAACATCAGAGGCCAAACAGCCAGCCTCCCCTCCTCCCTGTGGGCATGCCAAGGACACATGCAGAAGGACCCAAAGCCACATGGGAAACAAAGGGCCACTTTGCTTTGCAAGCTGGGCTAGCACCTGCTGGCCCATGAAACAGACCTCTCTATCCTTCCCACCTCCTCTTGCATCTGAATCTTGAGATTTTCTATCCCTTTCTGACTGCACGATACAGGAGCTCCTGCCACTAGGGCAGGACTGCTGACAGAGCCAGCAGGGCCTGCCAAAGGCAGAGCCAGAGTCCACCCAGCTCTGTGGAAGACCAGAAGCAAAGAGGGAGAGCTCGTGCCTTTTGACACATGGCCACTCCTCCCACTAGTAAATGTGACCAAGTGAAAAGTCTGCCATTTAGATCAGATCAGCAATGCCCTTCACTAGGTGACCACAGGGAGGAGAGCGAGGAGCCTGTTATGGAACAATGGGGCTTCTTATTTGAAACAGGAAGGAGTTGGACCAGAAGATCTGAAGGATTCTTTCTAGTCTCAGCATCTGTTATTCCACACACACTCTGGCTTCATATTCTGGACCTCCTTTTACTCCTCCCTTAGTGACACAGAAACTCATGTGCAGCCAGCCTGCCCTGAGGCTGGAATAGTCAGGAGTTACCTGCTAGCAAAAATAAATTGTATTTCTGGGCCAGCAAGTGGCGTGGTGATTAAGGCAGATGGATCATACATGACCAACTGCACAGTTCAAGTCCCAGACCTGGCAGCTTGATAAAACATGCCGGGCGTGTATGCATGTATGCTTAAAATCCTGAGGAGAATGGAGGAGAAGGAATTATGGCATGGCCAACCTCCCTGGAGGGTGATTTCTCATTTTCTTTCAGTCCGTTTCTCTTTCTCTTCAGTAAGGATATGCACCCTATAGCAAAAAATAAAATTAAATAAAAAATGTGGTGCCTTACAGAATTAATGAAGTATACGCCCAGGCAACAGAATCAGGTTTTCAGAAAAAGAGATTGGAAACAATTTGAAATTATTCTTGTAAAGCTTGCTGCTTTACATCTTTTGGCGCTTTGTAAACTTTGAATACTTTTTATATTTTCTGTACTGTGCATGTACTATTTGATCATTGGGGGAGAAATAGACAACAAATGGGAAAAAAGCTCTCCTTTGAAGGAGGAAAGGGATATGTGGATGTTGAATTGTGTGAGAGTGGCTACAATTGAGCACTAAATTTAGTACTGAGCTTCCTGGAAACCAGGGCACAGAGGGAAACGGGTGGGGCATGTGATTGTTGTCAGATAAAGTAAGCATACAATTTCATCCATAGGCATAAGTGCTTTGGGGGCAGAAATTCTAAGAGGAATGTTTATATAAAGAATGTTGAGGATTATAATGGGAAATGCCAGCAATCGCTGTTTTGTGGAAAGTGTGCTAATGTTCTTAAAAGGTGATATTTTATATAGATTCTCAATAGGAGTGGAGGGTGTAATAATGGATCTCAACTTATGGAAGCATTTCTGTGGGTAGCTGCACTAATGTGGTCCAGGTAAATTGCTCTGTGGTGATTTCACTTTGTAAAGGAAAGAAGCATGAAGAACTCAGAAGATGGTAGATTTAGTGTATCATTCTCAAACAGCTGCTTCAGCTCTTCTTTTGGCAGGTTCTGGAGGGCAGTTATGTGAGGGTTTGAGTATGTGATACATCCCGAGGTTCCAGTGTTTTGTGCTTGCTTGGTCAGTGATCTTTTACCAGACAAGCAGGTATTCTTTCCACTCCCTTGTTTCTGCTCCCAGGTACATGATCTTCCCTTTTTTTTTTTTTTGGAGAGGTTTTTGCTATAGGGCACGTGCACTTGCCAGAGAGAGACAGAGAGATAGAAAGTGAGAAATCACTCCCCCCCGCGGGGGGCGGGGGAAGATGGCCACTCCACAATCCCTTCTCCTCTATTCTCCTCTTGGGATCTTGGGCATACATGCACATGCGCCCGGCGTGAGTCTAAGCCACCGGGTCCTGGACTCCGACTCGAATGGCGGTTGACTACATGGGAGTCCAGTGACATAGCCATTACACCTACTGCTGGTCCCATGGTCTTCCCATTCTTGAATGGCTGCTTCAGAGGTAGAAATAAGCAAGAATGGGCAATTAATTAATAATCAATCATGCTGGTCTGTTGGTTGGAAGCATGGTAAATTTTCCCTTAAACTTATTCTGCAGGTGCGCATTTACTAAAGAGAAGTGGTGATTGTTGCTTGGTTTGAACAAACGTTTCCTTCTTTCCGTAAGAGGCACCAGAAGCATTCCCACACAGTTCATAGCTTTACTGTGAAGGGTCAATGAGATTTGTCTATAAGGTACTTAGCACAATGCCTGGCACATGGTGACTGGTCAGTCAAGGGTAGCTTTTTATAATGATGATAATGGTGAGATGGAGAAGCACTGTTCTATGGAGCCCTCAGGGTGAGGGAAAACAAAGTCATTTTCCTTTCCTGACCTTCAGCCTTTGTGACTTTCGTGATTATATTTCTGTTGCCATTGATTGGCTAAAATCACCGGAAGGGGACAGACAGCCTAGGTCATTCAGGCTGAATCGAGTAGAATGGCCACTGTGTTTTGACAGGAACACTGAGTGGATGAAATAATGCCATTACTGGGGATTAAAATGTTTGAAAGAACATCCAGCAATACGATGAAGCTGGTGAATATAGACAATAACTCTGATGAAGTTAGGCCTGAGAAACTGAGTGGGTGAAGATTTGGGGCATATTTATATATGCTTTTCCTTTATTGTATGAAAGTGTTTTTGTTTTGTCTTTGTTTTCTGGTAGGAGTGGGATTAGGTAGGCTGGACCTCTTATCTTGGGAACTTTGTATTCCTTTGTTATAGTTACTAGTTTTGGGCTTACTGGTATCTTCATTTTGTCTACATTAAGGTCCATCAGCCAGAGCTACAGGCCATGTTCTTAGGTATAGCTGGTTTGAGGGTTTTGTCTGAGAGTAAGAGGGACCTTTTGTTTTCTGGGCTCTCTCTCTTTCTCTCTCTATTTCTAAAATTTATTTGTGCTTCTGGTCTTCAAGGAAATGTTTATAATGATAACTTCCTTTTCCCCTTTTCTGGATCATTATTAACAGCTTGAAGCCTTTCATTATAAAGGTGTCACTATTTTTAGTAGAAAAAGTTCTTTTCTTTCTTTTGATCTTGCATGCCATGTTTCTTCCCGCTTACCAAACTTTTCTGCAGTTTGTTGCTCTTTGGAACGAGGATTTTAATGTACTGTTCTGTAGGTCAGTGCTCTGGGTATTCTTTGGAAAGTTTTCTGTGGGTGGGAGCCAGCAGCGAACCACCCATACGTCTATGGAGCAGACTACACATTTTGGATATTAGTGTGTAATTCAGTTCTTGAAGTTTTTGGCAATCCAAAGGCCATCATCCAATGTACCATCCACAGTTTCAGGCATCCACTGGGTATCTTGGAATAGAATCCTCATGGATTAAGGGAGATTACTATATGTATGGTAGAGAGCTAGTCTCTAAAGTTTAATAAAGCTGACTAAAGTAACGAAGTCTGTTTAACTTTGAATGAAATTAAATAAAATTTATGGGGTATTAATGAATATCTGCTGGCTAACAGTTCTGTTTTTTAATAAATGAGGTTTAGTTAATAGTCTTTCAAAATGTTAAGGCCTATGGGGGCCATGAGGTAGGGAATAATAATCAGCCCTTACTAGTAACAAGGCTGGGAATTATTTTCTAGGCTAATATTGTCCTATGTTCTGCTCAGTGGTGACCTGGGGGCTGGGCACACTGCAGAGGCCTCACTTTTATTCATTTTATATATAGGATTTTAATCTATAATAACACTTGAATGGAAGAGTTACGATTGCTAAAACAAAATTAAACAACAAAAGCCTTATCACAATGGCCTGCCCTATTTAAGCTAAATTTGTTTGTTTTTAATTTTGCTAGAGGGCATGTGCATTCCCCAAAGAGAGAAAGATGGGGGGGGGGGAGGTGAGAACCTCCTTCAAACCTCTCTAGGGCTGATAGTCACACCACAATTCCTGCTCCTCCATCTCCCTCCTTTCAGGATTTTGGGCATGCATCGCACACATGCCCAGCATATTCTTTGAGCTGCCAGGTCTTGGACTTGAGCTGCGCAGTCACCATGTGGGATCCAGCTGCCCCAACCACCACGCCACGGCCTGGCCCTGGAATGTGGTTTTTAACAATAGAGGTTTTCATCTCCCTCTATAAAAACAGGCTTATTAGAGATTTCCCTTGCTTTCTCCTATCTTCCTTTTACTTTGTGTATAAGCTTTCATCTGCTTAGTGAGGGAACTCACTGCTTTCCCTCTTAGCTCTCCGAGAATTTGAGCCAGTGAGGGGAGAGTAGAGTGTGTCTTCATTGCACATGTTTATGTGAACATACACAGATATTTGTATATTAGGCCCATAGTATCTAGATTAGCTACTAAAATATGTTATTTGTATCCAGATATAGCCGTGGTAGACTTAAACTCTTGAGTGATCTTGAAGCATATTTTCTTCCATTTTAGTTTCTAGAAGTTTGGAGGACCTTGACAACTCCTCTGCTCTGCAGAGCTCCTCTGTCGGTCAGACAAAGAACATGCATGTTGCTACCACATTCACTGATGGTGTCCCAAGGATGCTCCGATCTTTGACTGTCAGTCTGGGACCAGTGAATGAGACGGAGGGTTTCCCTGAAGACTCCAAAATGGCCACAACTTCAGCCTCAGTCCAGTCTTCACCCTCCGCAGTGGAGTTGAGAAGAAACAGCAAAGTAACTGGAAATCCAGGGGCTGAGGAATTCATTGAGCCATCCGCAGAAAATGAATTTGGACGTCCATCATTACATTGGCAAAATGATTCCCCAAGTAAGTATTATATCTATTAGAGATTTCTTATTTATTTTTCAGTTTTGGTATAGGGTGTATGCTCTCAACAGAAGTCACTCATCCACTCCCCAAGGGGGATGGCCATGCCACAATCCCTTCTCCTCCATTCTCTCAGGATTTTAGCCAGACGCACGTACACACGCACACCCCCCCACACACACGCATCTGGCTTAATTTTTCAAGCCAATAGGCCCAGGACTCAAACTATGCAGTCAGTCATGTGGATCCAGCACCTTAACCTCCACACCACCAGCCAGTTTGAGACATTTTTAAAGTAGTTTAACTTCCTCAGGGGATCTTTTCAAAACCATTTGCATTGTGCAAAGAAGAGCATGTTCTTTTATGACTCCAGCTCCTTTTGCCTCTATCCATTTTTGCATTTTGATTTCCATCCTTATAAGAACATTGTGAAATTAGTTGGAAAGGTATTGTTTCTCTTGCTTTTTTTTGTAGATGTGCAAACTAAGGTGTAGAGGGTTTAAGTAATGTGTGCACAGCCATTTAGCTCACTTGGTAGAGTCGAGACCTCAGCCTAGGGGCTCTCAGTTGGTTCCATCTTCTTTTCACTCATTTCACTTCCTTTCAGCCTCGTCCTCAAAGTGAGAGCGCATCCACACTTTAAAACTAGCTTCAGTTATTTTGTGCAAAGATCATCTTTACAAATAAATTGTGTAGATATAAACAGTTCCTCATTTCCTCGTTTGGTTTACTCCCTATGAATTTTTTTTTTTTTTTTTTTTTGGAGAGGTTCTTGCTATAGGGCGCGT